TCAAACCATGATCTCCTAAGTTCATAGGTTGATGCTCAACCATTGAGCCACACCAGCTGGTCAACCTTCCAGAATCTACATACAGTTTCAGCCCTTCTCATCCAAACAGACTGGGTTTTCTTGCAGAAGAGCTCATGGATTAAAACTAAATGCAAGTCACTCTGGCAAATGATGAACACTATCAGACTCTCTATAGAACAGCCAAGGGAGAATTAAGCCTAGTCCCAGGGAACTGCTGGAGAGTTGGCAGGGAGGAGATGGCATGTCTCTTACAGCAACCAGAGATTGGGGGCCAGAGGGTAAAACTGAGAACTGGGCTAGATCAATGCTGAAGTGTGGCTGGATTATCAGAGGCAAAGGATTGGAAACAAATGTCAGGAGCGGACGTACACAGACAAAGGGGGACCACCAGCAACCTGGAAAAATGAGAGAGAAGAGTGCCATGTGGGAACAGGTGAAAGAAGAGACAATCTGGACAAATACCCAGGAGAGAGGGATCCAGTGCCACAGTAGGAACCTTTCTCCCTCCCGAGGCCTTCCTGTATGGGTCCCACTTAAACAGCCTTCTTGTTACATAAGATGATAAGCTCCTTGAGGGTGGCAGTCTTGACTGATTCCTTTTCTGCTATAGTCCTGAAGCCTAGCACAGTGCCTGACGCAGAGTAGGTGCTCACAATGTTTACTGAGTAATAAATAAAGAAATAAATGAATGGATACACCTATCTTATCAACCTAGACACTAGGTAAGGAAAAGAAATATTGATAAGCTTTTTTTTTCAATAAAGTTACATCAATTGTAAGTTTCAATAACAAAGAATTTACTGAAGAATTAATTGGAGAGCAGGAGAAGAGGTTTCCACTATCCACCACCATAGAGCAAATAACTGGGTAAATGCGAATTAGATGCTTATGTTCTTTCCTAAATTCTTTTTCCAATCGTCTTCTCTTTTAGCTCTTCTCCAACACAGCACATGGGCACATACTTTTTCTCTCTTTCTCCTAGTCTGTACTAAGTGCAAAGTAAAAACAAAAAGTTCTCTTTCTTATTCCATATGTAGAAAAAAATCACTCCTCTGATGATCATGATGTGTTTTGAGAGGTGTCACTCCCACAGACCATCTCAGGGCCCTTGCTCTCTACCTCCCTTTGGGGAGGTGTATGAGCCTTTGCTTGATTAATCCCATCATTCATAATTAAATTACTTATGTAGAAACAACAATGCACTATGAGCAACTTCTTTTACTTGTTTTTATTGATTTTAGAGAAAGAGAAGAAAGGATAGGAAGAGAGAGAGAGGAAAAAAATAACATTGATTGGATGCCTCCTGCATGCCCCCTACCAGGATCGAGCCCCAATGAAGGCTTGTGCCCTGACAGGGAACCCTACCAAAGACCTCTGGGTGTACTCAACCAACTGAGCCATACTGGCCAGGGCAGTATGAACAATTATTAAAAACACTTCATTATGTATAATTTGTACATGCTTCAATTGGGGGTGCTTGGGATGATTTATTTTCCAGGTGGTGGTGTCATCTACCAACATTCACCAAATCTAATTTTCATCCTGCCATGCCACATAGGAAAATACAATTTTCAAAGCAAAGTTCCCCTACTTTACACAAAGATACACAAAGTTCATCAGACAAATAAAATAAAAAGAGAATATTTTTGCATACACATCAACACCGTACAAGCATACAAGACATTGTTCTTTTATTTGAAAACATCAGGAAAAGCGCCCCTTCACCCTCAGAGGGAAATGCAAACTTTGTTGCTAAATCCCAGCTCCACAAATGAAGGCGGGGTCCTCTGGGGAAGCAGGGGAACTGGGGACTGATGGAGGAGGGTGACGCCTCATAAGCACTTCAGGAGGAAGGAATTGCAGGAGGTTCCTCGGGGACAGTCGCACAGCTTCCCGATCCTCGCTCCTTTTCGCACCGCGCACTGCTCGCCAGCGTCACACTGCAAGCAACACATTGTGTGGTCGTGGGACATGCGCAAAACCAAGCCCTCAAAGGCCACTCTCCCTGTCAACACAGTTTCAGCCTCATGGGAGAGACGGATGGGCCCTATCACCCTCACGGGAGGCCTAAGTATAGTCAGGCCTAAAATAGAAGAGAGCTTTGTGCTTATGATTTCAGTGAGAGAGCATAAAAATAAATTCAAATTATTGAGCCCCTCCTACCTTCTCCCACTTTGCAGGGGAGGGGGGTAGAGTGAGAGTTGGATTACATTTCCTGGGTCCTTTAGTTGCTCATCCAGAAGATAAAAAAAATCAACCAGACCTTTTTTCTAAGAAATAAACAATAGACCTATGTTTTCTCACAACCCCTGCTCCCTGCTTTCTGCCCTCCTCGTCCTAAGGAAGGTTTAAGTATGTGTGTATGTGTGTTTGTTCTCCATGGAAGGTGACAAGCCCTGGTTAAGAATTTTTATCCTAGAACTTCGATTTTTTTTAAAAAAACTGACAGGAGTTCAGAAGGCAGGAAGAAAATAGAAGGAACAAGAACCAATTCTTCGTGAGGTGAAAAAAGCTCATCTTCAGGAAACACTCCTTTCCACCCAGATACAGAGCTGGTTCCTGGCACATACTGTTCGCTCCTCTGAAAGGGCTGGTCTGCCCTTAGAGACCAAGGGCAAGGGCTGGCGGTGAAAACAAAGGGGACCTCGCAGAATTCTGCAAACCCCTTTCCTGAATTATTTAGCCACATCCTAGGGAGAAGGCGTGCGTGTATAAGACTCAAGGTGGTATATTTCCTCTTGGAAAAAGATGGGAAGGAGGTGTTTCCAAAGCCTTACCATGGGGACTTGCCCGTACTTCTTCTCATAGAGCGGAATACGTTTACTCTTGAGCTTCTTCAGGACTTCCTGCAGCGCTTCGATCTGCAACATACCACCCGCCCACGAGAGCCCGAAGTTGCTGCCTTGGCTGCGAGCCCAGCCCAGGTGCTCACTTCCAGCCCTATTTTTAAGGATCCCCAGAACCACACACACTCCACCCTGGGACACCGAAGACAAAAAAAAAAAAAAAAAAAAAAAAAAAAAAAAAAAAAAAAAAAAAAAAGAAAGGATATTCTGATTCTGGAGTGGAAAATTTAGAACAAAAAGATACCATCTGCAACATGGATGGGACTAGAGGGTATTATGCTAAGTGAAATAAGTGAGAGAAAGACAAATACCACATAATTTCACTTATATGTGAAATCTAAAACAACAAACAGAACATTATGATGGTTGCTGGATAGGAAGCGTGTTGGGGGGATGGGTGAAAAAGGAGAAGGGATTAAGAAATACAAATTGATACTTAGCTAGAGGGGTGGAAACTTAGGGGGCGCTGTCCCAGGTACTGAGAGCTGGTCCCAGGGCCCTGGAGGGGAGGCTCCTGTTGCTCCTGTGTTGCTCAGAGGAGCGGGGACAAGACTGCTGGGAGAATGACAGCGGGAGCCCGGATTTCTCACTCATCTTCCCGCGTCCTGACTCTGGGAATGGGGTGGGGAGGAGGGAAGAGGGGAGGTACAAAGGAGGGACCGCGCGGCAGCCCAGGGGAGTCTGGGGCATGGGGATACCGACCAGCTCCTTCTCATGGGAGGCATCCTCCACGGTGGAGAAGATGTCCAGGGCTCGGGGCTGGAGCTCAGCATCCTCCTGGGCACGGGCGCCCAGCAGAGGTAACAGCAACAGCAGGGCAGCACCCAGGAGGGGCAGCAGCTGGAAGCGGGTGCTCTCCATGGTGCTGAAACTCGGCGCTGCTGAGGCGCCCCGCGCTCCTCTCTTTTATACCGAGCCAGAGCCCGGGTGCGGGGAAGAGGGAGGGGGCAAGGAAGGAAGGGGGTGTGGAGGAGGGTCCAGGTCAGCCGTCTGTAGGCAGCGATCCGCTGCCGCTTGACGTCAATGCCCGCCGGGCTCCAGGCGCCCCGGAACAAGGCTCTGCGCACAGATGGGCAAGAGAGCGGACACCAGGGACCCTGCGCCCCCAGATGCTGTCACCCCCGCAGTAAGGGACGCTCCCGAGGGAACTGAAACGAAGTCAAGGGGCGAGAGGTGGGGGCTGGGGACCACGAGGGGGACAGGACATGAAAAATGCCTTTGAGGCAAGGCACAGGCAGAAGAGTCCCTCCCCATCGCCTAGCAGGGGCGGCAGCAACGCAGTCTCCCTCACCAGCCCTGCCTTGACTCGCCCCAGATCCATATGTGGCAGCAAGAAGGGTTGTTGCCTCTAGATAGGCATGTACACTGAGCACCTTAATAGGCATGCTGTGGGATAGGAGAGGCAAACACAGTACTTAAAAGAAAGAAATTGTAGCCTTCCCCAGGATGGGCTCCATGACGTAATCTGTATGGTAGTAACGAGAAAAGAGGGAAAACAGACTGACCAAGACTGAGGGATGGTATAGAGAGTGCAGGGAGCCAGATTCTGGTTCTGCTCCTGGCTCCACCACTTGCAAGCTGTGTGGCTTTGGGCAAAATAAAGAACCTCTCTGGGCCTCACTGTTTTGTTTTGTAAAACTGGAATATAAAAGATACGCCTCACAAAATTATCTGGAGGTAGGAACGAAAGGTAAGGTATGTAGAAGCCCTGACCCTTAGCACTACCTCTCTAAGGCTCCCTACCTTTCCCTTGGAATTTGAGGCTGCCCAGGTAAGTGGCTGAGTGCAGTATTTCAGTTTTTCCTTAGGGCAAACCGAACCATCCTTAGGAGCCCTCCAGCTCACTACCCAGTTCTGATATCTAATGAAGATAATAAAGTAAAGGTGTGAAAAAGTGCAACTCCCTGATTATGGAAATATCTCCAGCATCAGAAGTCAGTAGTAAGCCAGGTCCTCCGTGGCTTGTGAAGATACTGTATTTTAAAAGATTGGGGTACTTACAGCCTGAGTACAAATGAAAGTTCCTGTAGGAGAGGTGATGTTTTCCCACTTAGACCTAGAGGCTTATCCCCCGCTGCCTGCCCACCTCGCTTCTTTCACCACATCCTCTTTCTCTCAAACCAATCCTCAGTTCATCCACTCTTCTCCATCCCTATCACTAACCGCCTCAATCCTGGAAAGCTGCTCTGGCCTTCTTCCTGCCTTCCCCCGGCCCTGCCCTACCCCACCCCACACCCCACTGCCTTCCTCTATCCCATAATTTACCACCAGCCAGCAGTAAAACATGCCAGAGAGGGGTGGGATTGTTTCACAGGCAGTCAGTTTCAGAAATAGACTACAGACTACGGCCTCTCTCAACATTTCCTCCAACAACCAAGAGCATTACAGTTGCAAAATGGAAATCTTTTTCCCAAATGCAAAGCTTGTGTCACCAGGAAGAAGGGTATTGTCTCCACACTGCTCACACACTTTCACTTCACTGCTTTTCCCTCACACTCTCTATGGTGCAATGTGGAAAGCAAACTGGGACAGGATTGCATCCTAAAAAATCTCAGGAAGTTCAAATCTCAGGCCATAGGCGTGAGGGAGTGACTCCTGGGCTGGACAGTTTGCCTTAGATGGCATCTAAGGTCACTGTTTAAACCGTGATTCTGGGACTCTTTCATGCCTCCTTCAGAACTCATCAAAGTGAAGTCTATTTCTTTTGACACAAACTCTAACCTCAGGAGAAACAGAATACCATCTGGCATGATCCAAACAGGCAGAGCCTGAGGGCAAACGTATTTTTTATAGGCAGAAGGGTCCTCAACAAGTCTCTCCTTTACTTCTTTAGGGGATCTCTGGCCCTGACATTTCTCTACTGCGTGTCAGCAATTTAAGCTGGTTCTGGTTTTAACGAGAGATCCATCGTGGTGGCTTGGCTTACCAGCTAAGTCAGTCCCAGCTCCTCCTGCTCTGCAAGCCAGATCTCTGCACTTCCCATCCAACGGCCTCTCTAAAGCCGGCCTGGCAAGGCCTCTGAGATGGATGGGCTAGCAGCCGTTCCTTAAGCTCCTCCAACGTTTGCAGGAAGTCCACAGGGACTGTGCTTATTTCTCCGGAAGGTGAGATTAGACTGGACTTTGAGAAGACTGAAACCCACACATGGCAGGCTTGCCCAAGGTCATGTGTCATGTTTTCCTCTCCTATACAACTGGCTGCTGGAAGACAGTTGTTTGGAGACCCGGTTCAACTTTATGAACGGGATTATAGACAAGGGAGGCGGATATATTTATATACAGAAGCCTCAAGAGCTTAGGGAAGGCTATCTAGCCTGAAGAGGAGGGCCAGGATGCTTGTCTTAAAGCTTTATTGCCATAGAGTCACTGTTTTAGAACGACCTTAGGGAGGTAACCATGGAGATTTTGAGGATGCTAAAAAATCAAAACAAAACACTTCAACTCTCTGCAGTGCTTCATATTCCCTTCATTTTCACCCTTCTCTAGGGAAAAATAGCTATTCAATTGTACTCTCTTATCTTAGGCTCTGGGGCCACCACACCCATTCAGTTGTGCATGTGAACTATTCCTTCTCTTTTCTGTATATTACGGCAGTCTGTGGCTACCACTCCCCCTAACCCACTGCACGATGGCATATGGTGCACTGTGTTACTGTTCACAGATATTTAGTGCTGCTCACTGGAAGAGAAATATACTTTGGGCCATGTTCATCAACTATGTGTCTATGTGACCCACTTTGGCCAGTGAAATACAAGCAAAAGTATAATGCGTTGTTTTCATGGGGAAGGTTTAAAAGCCAGTGCATACTTTGCCCTGCTCTCTTTCCTCTTCCCTGGTGATTGGCAATATTCCAGATAGAGGTGGCTATTATCAGCCTGGGTTATAGACGGTTCTGGAGGGAAGGAAATATTGAGCACAGCTATAACTGCCTTCAGTGGACATATAGTGAGAAGGAGGAATAAACTCTTGTGGATATAAGCCACTTTGGGGGTCATTTGTTACTGTAGCACAATTTAGCTCAATAGGACCAAATCAGGTAGATAGACTGCCATGTCCATCAACCCATCTCATAGATAGTATTAATTACATATTGCTACATAATAAATTACCCCAAAGTTTAGTAGCTTAGAACAACATGTATTTATTATATCACCATTTCTGTGGGTCAGGCATGACTTAGCTAGCCTCGGGTCTCTCAGAAGGCTGCTATCACAAGGCATTGACTGGGGCTGCAGTCATGTCAAGGTTCAACTGAGGCAGGATCCACTTTCAAGACAACTCAGTGGTTCTTGGTAAGACCTGGTTTCTCACGGGCTATCTCAGTCACTTGCTGGCTCTTGAACAGAGGCCTCCCTCCATCCTTCCAGATGCCCTCTCCGTCTGAGCAAGCATGTGAGAAGAGCCTGAGAGAGAACGCTAGCAAAACAGAAGTCACAGGCTCTTCTAACTCATCTCATCATTTTGCCATATTCACTGGGTGCTGTCCACACTCATGGGCAGGGATTATATAAGGGCATGACTATCAGAATGCAAAGTCCCTGGGAACCATGTTAGAAAATGTCTACTACAATTATTCTCTCAAAAAATGTAAATACAATTAAGTGAACATCATTGTGTAAGAACCTTAGTTTGAGGGTGAGGTAAGAAAGAGAATTGTGGAATTGTATAATTGGGGCTCTGAAACCCAGAAAGGCTAAACTACTTGCCTAGGATACACAGTTAGAAATAAAGCCAGAACTAAAATTCAAATCAGCACTATTTCTATTCGACAGAAATCAGTGAAACATTAAATAGCAATATACGACAAACTGCATTCAGCAGAAATAGAAGCTAGACCATCAATTGCTAACTGAATAGTCAAACAAATCATCCAGACAATGAATGAATTAAGCAGAGAAGGAAAGCTCTTTAGGGAGAGGCAATCAAAAAGGTAGGCCATGTTATGAGCTAGTCTTTGAAGGGTGGACTTGTTTCAGCAAAGAAGGGAAAGTCTTGCTGGCAGGGGGCTGGCCAAGATGAGGCTTCTTCAGGGCACCCCAAGGCAGCACACGGGAATGTGGCTCTCCACTCCTCAATCTCAATTAATCAGGTGACATTTTCCAAACAGGCTATCTCTAGCACATTGTGAATCAAAGGTGAGATCAAATAAAAAGACCTTTCAATTTACCTTTAGGGAAGTGTTTCCCAGCGTGGTGTGAAAGTATCAGAATCACTGAAAATTTCTGTTCGCCAAATTACATATGCTTATACTGCACCCCCAGAATCTCTGTGGAGGAGAGCAATCTAGCTCATGTCATTGGGAAAAGTTTCCCCAAGGGACTCAAATATAACCTGACTGATATAAGCCCCTGGTGGGGGAGCACTTAAGGGATCTTTGCATCATTTAGTGTCGTGTCCGGGAGCACACTTTGCTCTACAAGATCACCGAGGCCAAATCCTTCCAGGATCTAATACCCTTCCTTTCTAAAACTGGATAGCTGACCCAGAATGGATGGAGGAGGTCAAGTCACTCTTAGTTCAGTGGGCATCTCCATTGTGCCTTCTTTTAAGAAGCCATGAACACACCCCATGGGCCTTTTCAAGAGTGCAGATATAAGTCCCATAAGTAGTATAAAGTAATTAAACCTTGATGAAAGACTTATTTATATCCACCTTGAGCAGAAATTGTGTTCTCACTTCTGCTGGTGAGAAAACTGGTCATTTAAGTAACTGGATTCAGGCCCCCAGGCAGGAGGGAAGTGGGACCCAGATCCTTTGAAAACCTGGTGTTTTCTTATTTACACTCTCCTTCCATTTCGTTTTATCACCTGTATCATTTTTTTAAAATGAAGAGAGAGAGCAAAAGAGAGAGAGAAAATAAAACTTGAATTCTAAAATAATTTTTAAATATTATAAAAGATATTCTCTAATGGTCAAGATCCCCCTTGCTCCTTGAAAAACCAAGTCATTTTCTATTGAAAGTTGCACAAATGTCGGTTGAGTCTCCGAGTGCAAGCTCTGACTTTCCAAATGTGAAATGGGACTCTGTGTTATGACAGAGACCTTAAGTTTTGGACTGAGATCCACCTAGATGACCTATCCGAGGTCTCCCGGGTAGACTGGGGAGGCCCTTGAGGGCTTCACCCTGTGCCAACACAAACCCACCGCACCTGCCTGACGACAAGGGA